CCTTGGAAACCCAAAGAGGGGTCACTATGAGTCAGGTCTGACTCAACAGCACATAAAAACAACAATTGTGCTCATGAGGAACCTATACGTAGACCAAGAAGCTGTCATTCAAACAGAACAAGGGGATACTGAATGATTTAAAATCAGAAAAGTTGTATATCAGGGTTGTATCCTTTCACCATATTTTTTTAATTTGTATACTGAGAAAAGAATCTGAGAAGCTGGACTATATGAAGAAGAATGCAATACCAGGATTGGAGGAAGACTTATTTATTCACAACCTGCGATATGCAGATGACACAACCTTGCTTGTTGAAAGTAAAGAGGAAGATTAAAGAGTACAGTCTTTAGTATGGATTACACCACAACATAAAGAAAACAAAAATCCTCACAACTGGACCAATAAGCAACATCATGATTAATGGAAAAAAGATTTTACTTGGATCTACAATAAACACCCATGGAAGCAGCAGTCAAGAAATCAGACATCGTACTGAAGTGGGGATATCTGTTGCAAAAGACCTCTTTAGTGTTAAGAAGCAAAGATGTCACTTTGAAGATTAAGGTGTGCCTAACACAAACCATGATATTTTCAATTACCTCAAATGCATGTGAAAGCTGGACAACCAACAAATAAGGAAGACCAAGGAAGAACTGATGACTTTGAATTGTGGTGTTGGTGAATCCTGAAAATACCATGGACTGCCTGAAGAACAAACAGATCTATCCTGAAAAAGTGCAGCTGGAATGCTGCTCCTTGGCAGCAAGAATGGCCAGACTTCGTCCCACCTACTTTGATCATGTGGTCAGAGGGGACCATTCTCTGGAGAAAGATATGCTTCATAAAGTGGGAAGACCCTTAACAAGATGGATTGGCATAGTGGCTGCAACAATGGGCTCAAGCAGTAAGGATTGTGAGGATAGTGCAGGACTGGGCAGTGTTTTGTTCTGTTGTACATAGGGTTGCTATGAGTTAGAGCTGACATGATGGCACCTAACAAAAACAGCAACAGAGATTTAGGTAGCAAGAGATACCCGGAGGTCTCTCAGGTTGCCTCCACTGGAATAAATGAGTTCCAACCATTTCCAGTCTACTGGCATTCTGCTCAAAATTCCATTTCCCAAGAGGGAGAGTCTGGTTAATCTAACTAGGGTCACAGCTACCGGAAGGGAAAGCACCTTGATTAATAATCCAGGAGGATTGTATCAGAAGAAGAAGAGAAAATTCCCTGAAATGAAAATATGTCATTAACATTGAAATAAATGTTGGTCAACTAATGAACAAGCTAACAAACAAATAAATATGTGCTATGGAAAAGTAAAATTTGAGTATTCAAAGAGCAGCTTGAGAAGACTTTGAGGTAAGGTACTGGCAGAAGTAAAGGTTAAATAGACCAGTTTGGTAAGGAGCTTTTATTTAGGGAAGTAAGTGACAAATAAGTCACAGTTGGGTGGGGGCCAAGTTATTGAACACCTTAAATAACAGAGTAAGAGATTTGGACTTGTCCTTGGAGACAACAGGAAGCATTTATTATTTTTTCAATGGTAGCTGACATAATCAAAGGGATCCTTTAGCTAGACAACAGGGCAGCAGGAGTGCAAAATGAATTTGAACATTAAAATACAAGGCTCAGAGTCGACAGAGCCAGTTCAGATAATGGCATTAACATATCAGGTTTATGGACCTGAACCCACAGGGATGAGGTATGGCAAAGATGAACTAGTGAATAAAAAGAAAATGGCAGATTTGAAAAGAAAGAGAAAATTAGCAGAACCACTGAATTGGTATAGTGAGCGAAGGATAGGGGAAATCCAAATAGGAGTCAAAAGATTTGAGCCTGAGTGTCTGAGACAATTATACCACTGACGGAAAAGGGAGAGAGGCATGAGAGATCATTTGTGAGGTGAGGTGAGAAAATGAACTGGTGTTTTAGATATCTCAGCTTCATGTTACAATAGGATCTTTAGGCCAAAATATCCAACCAGACATTAGTCTATAAATCTTTACAGAAGCAGACTGCCTCATCTTTCGCCTGCTGAGTAGCTGGTAGGTTCAGACCGCCTACCTTTTTGCTAGCAGCCAAATGCTTTGACCACTGTGCCAAAAGAGCTCCTATTAATAAATTAAGAAAGAAGGAAACCCTATGGGGCAGTTCTACTCTGTCCTGTCCTGTAGTTTCACTATGAGTCAGAATCAGTTATTATTATCATTATCATTATTATTATTATTACTATTGTTATTATTAGTTGATAATGTAAGCTGGAAGTAGAAAGATTCATAGGCAAAAGTGGGGCTATGGAAATTCGTTTTGCAGCATTGCAAGTCCTCAAACTCCAAATCTATTTGAAAACAAAGCTTTGTTAAAACATAGGATTCAGTTGTCAAGTAAGTTTGGATTCAGCCTCTTTTGAAAAATGGTTTTGAAGCTCTTGGCAGACCTGTCTTATTTGGTGTCTTAAATTTATATAGTTATTTTTAAAAGAATGGCT